AATCAGACACCATTTGAAGTTGGGGAGTCAGTTGGCATTGGGATCTAGCCACTCTTACAATAAGACTGTGGGTTTGGTTTCCGGCAATATTAGCTTTGTCATTATAAGAAATAGGCTTTCTTTCAAAGCACAAGTGGAAACTTTTAGGTCTTTTATGAGGTATTTGAGCTGTAATTCTGAAGTCCTGAGCTCAGTTCTTTCCTTTACTGCATGGTATACATAAGTAAGACTAATCAGCTAGCTTTTCTATTCTTCTCATGCTGAAAAAAATTGCAGAAAAGTATCAAACACATGATCACCCACAGTCTCGTTTGTCACAAGTACTTGATCTACTGGTGGTGACAGTTTGTGTATTAACACTACCGCCTCACACCCTGAATTAGCAGTGCTCTTTTTATGAATAAAAGCAGAGTACCTTTAAAATCAATTTAGAAAACCCATCCTTACCATTTTATTTCTCTAGCACTGGTAGTGTAATGGATTATAAACTGGATTGCTAACTGCAAGGTAAATAGTTCAAATCTACCAGTTGCTCCGCTGCTTGAGAAAGACGAGACTTTCTGCTGCCATAAGATTTACAGCTTCAGAAACCCTATACAGGCTCTATAAGGTAAAATACGCTATCCTTGTTTTCAGAGATAAGACAACAGAAACTCTGAGAGATTAAGGCAACTGTCCAGGACTGCCCTAGTGGCCAGCAGCAGTCCCCTTAGACGACGTGTGCTGCTCTTTTGTTCTAGCCTTACTACCTCTACTCTTCCAGGCACCCTCCATTCATCCTGATCTGCTTTCAGCATTTCTCTGGTCACTCTTCTCAAAAACCTTCAGTGGCTCCCTGTTTCCCAGAAGAGGCACAGAATTTTTGGCAGTACAGGACACCCGTTATACCTTTCTTTTGAAGATGAAGAAACAGAAGCCCTAGCAACATAACTTGAAAATGGTTGGCAGATGTTGGAGCTTCCAGGACTTCTGACTTTGAGTCTCTACCACACCATGCATCTTTACACTTAGACATTGAGATACTTCTGTGCATCTTTTAAGGTGCTACACATTCTTCTTCTCACCAATCCACTTCATTTCCAACTCTGGCTAGCTCACAGTTTCTAGACTCCTTCAGCCTCTCAAGAACTTGTTGGCCTCTTAGGTTGCCTGGGTGCCTTTCTTTCTTACTTCTACCTTTAGAAATCCTTCACCTGTTTCTAGTCTTAGCTCCTCCCAGAAACCACCTTCAGTTCATTTTCATGGCTCTCATGCCTAAATTCCACCCCACATCATTAATTACACACTTAATTATAGATTTGTTCTGTTTGCTGCTGTTTCATATCTCAGAACCTGTTCTCCAGGGACCATGTCTTTTTAATTTGTTTTTCTGCTTATCTTTCACTTTGTTAGAGGAAAGGATGTGAGTTGGCTCCCAATAAGCACCTGGGAAAAAACCATATGTTTTGTGTTGATTTAATCTCACATGGCGCTTTGTGCGTGCTTATTCAGTTGGGACCTTCTTTGGTGATCAGGAGGGCAGTGCTGCTGGCTCAGTGGTGGAATTCTTACCCTTTGTGTGAGAGACTCAGGTGCAATTCCTGGGTCATGCAGCTGTCAGTGGAAGCTTGCCTGTTGCTATGATACTGAACAGGCTTCTGCGGAGATTCTAGGCTAAGGTGGACTAAGAAGAAAGGCCTGGTGATCTGACTGGAAATCAGTCAGTGAAAAAGCTGTGGAGTACATTGGCCTGATCCTGGTGTACATGGGGTCACCATGAGTCGGGGGGCTGACTGGATGGCAGCTAACAATAGCAGCCCGTGATCAGAGTTTCCTGTGCCCCTTTGTCCCTGGATGGACTTATTCAGGAAACACTGCCCAAATCTACAGTGGAGACACAGTGACAGGCCATGCAGCCTGACATCAGGGAGTAGCTGCCATCAGCGCCTGTGTGTGGGTAACGCTACAGAGTTTGCAGGGAAGAAGCTGGGATGAGAAGCTGTAGTGTTTCTCCATAGAGAAGACAGATGCCAAAGGAAACCAAGTCCATTCATACTGGCTGGAGGCCTGTTTTGCCACATGGTTGCCGCTGTCTTATCATTATTTACAGCATCAAGAGCAGTGCGGCCATCAGACGACAGCCATTCTCAGCATCCTCCCCTCCCACAGGAGGCAGGCGCTCTGAGTAGGGTGGGGTAGAATTAGGAGGAGCTTTTACATTTATTTTTATTATTAATTTCTTCTTCTAAACTTTTTTTAATTGTGGGAATTTTCAAACATTCCCCCAAAGTAGAGGTAATAGCATAATTACCCCAACACCCAGCTTGAATACTCGTCATTTTGTTTATTTTATTTTCTCTGTCTGTGGTCCCTCACCCAACACGTCCACCTTTGTGGTTTTGTTTTTACAAGTAAAGTCATTGTACAGCTTGGTCTGATCTTTATGGTGGGTGATGTTTCTCCTCTCCACACTCACTGCTATGAACAGTGCAGGAAAATGGCTGCTGCCTCTCTCCTTGATCCTGTGCCTCCGCTTGCATTCATGAAATAACCAGTCAAGAGTTAGGCCAGGCGGTTTTCAGACTTAGGGCCTTAGAAACGTGTGAGTATCTGTTTTGCTCTTTTGACTCAGTATTTGGACTGGTAGGGACTTGGAGTGAGGATCAGGGGTGTTCGATGGCCACAAAGGTAAGGGATAGATCTGCTCAGTGAAAGATCATAGCCTCCACAATGTAGGCAGTGCCCTTTGTCATTTCTAAATGCACAACAGGGACAGAGGATATACTTTCTCCTGATTCTCTTTGAAGTTTATCCTAGGGCTCTAGGTCTGCTTGGACTCATGCATTCAGTTTACAGTAAGCACCTGGAAGGTACCCTCGCTAGCGCTGGTGTAATCCTTCATGGTGTTTCATGAAGTACTTGTTGTTCAGTTGGTATGCAGACCCTAAAGACAGGCCCTGCTAGTTCCTGTGTGTCTTGAGAATCTTGGTCTTGTTCTTGAAGACACAGGGAGCCATTGAATGGCACCTAAACAACAAATCTGACGAGATTAGGTTTGCATTTTGTAGCGATTGTGCTGGCCATGTGCCCACCACAAATGAAGCGTCATGTGAAGTTTGGTTATCAGTGAAAATGTAAAGGCTTTGCTGCCACGTTTCTTTTCAACCAAGAAGCAAATTATTTCATAGCCAAACAGAATGAAACAAAAAAGATGATCGAATTCTGTATTGTTCTTGTTTCTATTCACTTGGCTGTTTTTTAAGTGAACGATTCAGTTCATACTGACTGAACTTCACTTTGAACCTCACCCTAGTGGCCTGTCTCAAAACCAAAATGGAGCCTTCTTCGTATGCACTGCAGTATTGTTGGATAAGACTGAATCGCAGTGCAGAAGAAGTTCCAATTCCAAATGGGCACACAGCTTTAAGCACTTAATCGGATATCCGTTTTTAATTTGACTACTTCATTGTCAGAAATCTACAGTAATGGTATTTTGTTATTGATCTAGGTTTCAGCGAGTGAAACACTTTTGTTATGAGCTCTGTGTCTAGGCTGAACATTGTATTTTGAACCCGAGAGTCAAATGGCATTTTAATGTCCTGACTTTTATGACTGCCATCATGTCGAATCTGACTCATAGTGATCTTAAATAGGGTTTCCGGGCCTATAAATGATTATGGGAGCAGGCAGCCTTCTCCCATGGAGCACATGGTAGGTTTGAACTGTTGACCTTGTGGTTAGTAGCCCAGTGCTTATCCTACAGCACCACTATGACTAATATATAGGCACTTTCATTTTTTCTTTCTAGACTATTGTTAACTTTCTTGTTTTGTCCAATTGTGATCCCCCATTATGGATCCAACTGGAAAACCAGGCTTGTCTGAACCACTGTGTCCCTTGAAGAGGCACATTTTTTGATTTTAGAAATGAAAGCTCCCTTGTGAATGTGTTTCAGCCTGTCTTGTCATCCATCTTCCTGTCTGACTCTGCAGCTGGCCCTTCTCTTGGCCTTCTCAAATCCCTTCTTCCTTTGGGGCCAGCCCTGCCCTTTTGGGTCAAGTCTCACTTCTTTCCTGAATCTTGCTTCCCACCTTCTTTCCCTGCCGAGACGCCTTCCTGATTATTTGCTTGCACACTTTCTGGCTTCTGTCCTTGTCTGGATGCATTGGATCTGGCTGGGTTTTGTTGAGGACGGCATAGGAGAGTGCTGTGTGTTGACTCAGACGTGGATCTGCATCTGCGGCACAGACACTGGCTTTTGGCCTGGGAGGATTCCCATGATCCAGTGGCACCAAAGACACCTCTGCTGTCCTCTGATATCCAAATTGCAGAACTGACTGTGGCTCACTCTGATTGAATTGCAGACTCAAAAACATGGATCTCATCTCTTATTTGTATGTGCTGCACCAATATTCGTTGATTTTCATTCTTAATAATGGTTACTTTAAAAATGTTTTTTAAAATTTTTCTTTCTTATAAATATTCCATTTATTCTTTGTAGGAAATTTGGCAAAAATAAAACAGGTGAAAAAGAGCTGGAAAAATATCTCTCATAATCCCATTGTCCTGGAAAATTTTTTTACCATAATTTCTTATTGATGTATACACTCCTGCCATGTCTTATGTGCATAGATGAATACAAACATATGGTTTACATCTTACACTGTTTTGGAAGTTTGACCCCCTTTCTCCTCACTTCCGCCTCCTCCCCCATAACACTTAACTGTGATCATCTTTGCGACATTTAATATTCTCCTAGAACATCTTTTGAAATGGCTGTAAAGTGTTCCTTTGTCTGAGCGAATGATGAGTTTATTCAGACAGCCCATTCCCGGTGGACATTTGTGTTGTCTTGAACATATTTGCATTGTCAACAGTGTGAAATGCATACCCTTGTGACTGTCACATACAATTCTGGGCATTTCCAGGACACATCCCTTGTTACTGAAATGCTGAGCTAGGTCTGTTTTTCTTTCTGAAGCTTTTGACACATGATTATGTTTACTTTTGTTTCTCTTTAGACACTACAACAACAGGAGTGTAAACTTCTCTACAGCCGGAAAGAGGGTCAGAGGCAAGAAAATAAAAACAAAAATCGATACAAAAACATCCTGCCCTGTAAGTATCAAAACTTTGCTCTATGATTTTTGATTCCAATATTCCTTTGATAACTTATCCTGGGGGCCCCTAGCTCATCTCAGCAGATTCATGTACAATGTCTACGTAGATGTATATGAACTTCAGTCTTCAAAAGGTTTTTTGCTCAGCTCAGAGCCATTCTGCCTGATGTGTGTGTGTGTGTGTGAGAGAGAGAGACGCATAGTCTTTTTCTCTTCCTATTTAAAAGAAAACAAAACACATTCCCCTTAGTTGATTCTAGCTCACAGTGATTGTATAGGGACAGACTAGAACTGCTCATTTTTCTCCTATGGATTCGTTGGTGGGTTTGAACTGCTGATCTTTCAGGTTGCAGCCAAGCACTTAACCACTGCACCACCAGCTTGCCTCTCTTTCCATGTACATAATGTATATGTAAGTCAAACCACCCAAACTCATTGCCATCGAGTTAACTCTGACTCATAATGACCCTTTATAGAGTTCCTAATGCGGTAAATTTTTACAGAAGACAGCCTTATGGTTCTCTTACACAGTGGCTGATGTATTTGAACTGCCAACCATGCAATTAGCAGTCCAGTTCTTATCCTACATTGCCTGTATATATTGATGGTATCTTTATATCACTGCTGTAGTCTATTTGTAATGGCTGCAAGTGCAAATGGGAGAAAGTAGAGATATAATGCAGCAAAGAGTTTGGAGAGAAGCATTTGAGCCATTGTTGTTAAGTGCCATGGAGTTGGTTCCGACTCATAGCGACCCCATGCAGGGTTAATCTCTGCAGGAACAGAAAGCCTCGTCTTTCTCCTGTGGAGTATACTTGTGGTTCACAGTCCAATGTTTTATCTTATGGAGCTACTGTGCTCCCCATTTAAGCCATGTTGTTGTTAAGTGCTGTTGAGTCGGTTCCCACATATTGGAAAGCCTATACAGGGTCCCATAGGGTTTCCAAGGAGCAGCTGTTGACCTTGAACTGCTAACTTTGTGGCTTAAACCAATCTTGCAGTCTAGCGCATTAACCCACAGCACCACACCAGGACTCCATTTAGCCATAATGTGGTCCTAATGACCTTGGGGGCCCGGAGTCTGATGGTACTCATTTGTCAGATGTAGGAAAAGATGAGGTGAACAATGGTCGGCAGTGTCTTATAGAATATTGCTTACTGCACCCCCTCAAAGATTCCAAGCAGATATTTCCGTTAACTAATATCTCATTTCTTAAATATAGAGGAAGTCTCAGGCAAAAGTAAAGTAATATATTAAGACAGACAACTATATTACTAAATCATTGTAAAATATGTTGCTTAAGGAGAGCACTCAGATTTTTCATACCAGCAACGCAGTGTGTACAGAATTTGAGCAGTCAGTACTGTCAGAATGTCTTTAAGATTGTTGGTTTCTTGGTTAGATATTGGGTTAGCCAACTATTGCTGTGATCAAATTATCCGAAAATGTAACAGTTTTCAACAAACATTTATTACCTCACAATTTCGGTGGGTCAGGAATTGGAGAGGGGCTCAGGTGGGTGGTCTCCCATGAGGCAGCAGTCAGCATGTCAGTTGGAGCTGTAGTTCCTTAGATGCTTGACAAGGTAGGTTGGCGTACCACTCACTCACATAGTTGTTGACAGGGCTCTGCTCTTCAGCAAATGCGCTGCCTCACAACATGGCACCTGGCCTCCCTCAGAGTGAGTGATCTAAGAAAGAGAACAAGCAAGTGTGCACACACAGGGCAGAAGCTGTAGTTCCCCCAATCTTGCAAGTGACAGTCACCATGTTCTAATTGTTAGCTGCAAGTCACATTCTTTTGTAAACCTGGAGGAGAGAATTCAACTCTTCCGTTTTAGGGAAGAAATACCGAAGAATTTGCAAGCCCACCTTTAAAGCTACTACAAAGACTTTATGTCATTTGGTTTAAAAATGTTAAGACTTGTTAATTATAGAGATTTCCACCTCTAGTTCAGAGTGTACAGAATAGTTTACAAGAGCCCCCATGCACCCATTACTCTGATCTACTTCTCCCTCTTTCCCCAGATGATTTTAAAGCAAATCTCAGACAGTATGGCATTTCATGTGCATTTTCATCTTCTTTTTAGAAATTTGTTTAAAAATAATTTTAGACTCGCAAGAATTAAAAAAAAATAAAAAATAGTACAGATAATTTCCGTGTATGCTTCCCCCAACTTTCCCCAGTGATAAACTCTTACGTAAGTAAAACCATGATCAGAACCAGGAAGTTGGCATTGGTGTGATGTTATTAATTGAACTACAGAAGTATCCTGGTAGCGTAGTGGTTACGAATTGGGCTGCGAACCTTAAGGTCAGCGGTTCGAAACTACCAGCTGCTCGAAACTACCAGCTGCTCCGCAGGAGAAAGATGAGGCTTTCTACTCCCGTAAAGATTTACACCCTCGGAAACCCTGTACCGGGTCGCTATGGGTCGGAACCGACTCGACGGCACTTAACAACAACAACAACAGCAGAAGTATCCAGTGCTTTATTCTTCTTAAAGGAAGTATTATGGGACATCCAGTTGTTCAGATGGTTACTAATGGTCATTTAGGGTATAATTGTCTATATGAATTTTGCACTCAGTGAAGAAAGCTTGAAAGAGACTAAGGATGAATTGATTTGAACTGATGGTTCCCTGAAGGGGTCTGAGTGAGTTCTGTTGTGACTGTAGTCTCTCTCTCTTCCAGTTGACCATACCAGGGTTGTCTTACATGACGGGGATCCCAATGAGCCTGTTTCAGATTATATCAATGCAAATATTATCATGGTAAACTTTGTTTTTCTTTTTTTCTTCTTCAGTTTTTTCTGACCATATGATAATGCTAGCTTGTTTTCATATTTTAAAATCTTTCTGTCTGTCCCGAAAGCAACTTTGGAGTGTTTGAAGGCATTTTTCTCCCTATGTTTCTAGCCTGAATTTGAAACCAAGTGCAACAATGCAAAACCCAAAAAAAGTTACATTGCCACCCAGGGCTGCTTGCAAAACACGGTGAACGACTTCTGGCGGATGGTATTCCAGGAGAATTCCCGAGTGATTGTAATGACAACAAAGGAAGTAGAGAGAGGAAAGGTAGTGTACTTCCTGTTCTTCTTTTCCGGCAAAGTATTTAAAAAGCATTGGGCATGTCAGGTTAGCCATATTGGGAATTAAATGAACAAATTAAGTTTATTTAAACTCCCTCTTTGGTGAGAACTAAGTGAAAGAGCTTGAATTGTGACATGGTGTGGTATACTTTTGTTTCTTCTGCTTGGGGTTCATTGAGCTTCTTGAATCTGTGGGTATATGTTGTTGTTAATGTCCTGCCAAGTGGGTTCCGTCTCATAGTGACACTGTATATAGTTTCCAAGGAGTGGCTGGTGAGTTTAAACTGCCAACCTTGTGGTTCAAACTGACCTTGTGGTCCAGTACTTTATCCTACAGGGCCATATCAAGACTCCTGTGGATGTATGCTTGTCTTCAAATTTGCATACTACACCTTCATCCTGGGACTCGAGTTCACTGAGATTTTGTTTATTTTTTTCGGTCTTATTTTCCTCACTGCTTTATTTTAGATAGTTTCTTTTTCTGGGTCTTTAAATTAATGTTTCTTCTACAGTGTATTATTGGTTGTTAGTTCTATCCTAGTGTGGCAGTGTAATATTAGCAATGGACTGCAAACCACATAGTTAGTAGTTCTAATCCACCAGCTGATCCTTGGAAGCTCTACACAGGGTTTTTATGAGTTGGAACCGACTCAACAGCACTTAACAACAGTCTTATCCAGTGTATTTTTTAATGATAGAAACTGTATTTTCATCTTTCAAAGTTTTATTTGGGTCTTTTTAGTATCTTATATGTTTCTCTTTAATGTGCACATTTTCCTATTCCTTTTGAACATTATGAAGTATGTTTATAATAACTTTCAATGCCCTAGTCTCCTATGTGTTGTTTCTGGGTCTGTTCATTAGGGGCATATTGTCCTGCTTCTTTGCATGCTTGGTAATTTTTTAATTCAATGTCACATGCTGAGGATTTGATGCTGTTAGATGTTAGATTTTGTTTTAATTTTCTTAAATGACTTGAAGCTTTGTTCTGGGATATTGTTATTTGGAAGCAGTTTGGTTCTTTCAAGACTTGAGTTTCAGCTTTGCTAGGTGGTGGGACTGTAGCAGCCTCTGGTCTTGGCCCCCCTTGTGAGTAGTTAACCCAGTGCTGTGCATAATAAGCTTTCTTGACTGTCTGCAGGGAACGTGAGCTATTTTTGGGAATTGTTCCTCTTGCTCCTTATTGCTCATTTGTTCCTAGTTTCACCAAGTTTCCTTACATGCATGTGTTTAATCAGTACTCAGCTGAAGACTCAAAGAACCTTTTGCAGATCATCAAAGCTGTCTCTCTGTTTAGTTCCCTCCTTTTTTGGTATTCTACCCTTCAAATTCTAACTGCCTAGATTTCCCTGAATTCTCAGCTCTTGTCTCCTCCACTTAGGGAGACCACTGGGCTGTTTTGGGTTTCCCTCTCAGTGCTGCAGCCTGGGAACTCTCTCAAGACAATAAGTGGGGGCCGAGGGTGCACTTCATTTCTTTTTCTCTTCTGGGATATCGCTGTCCCGAGCTGAGTGTTGCTCAGGGTGTGGAAACCATGGTTCCCTATATTGTCCATTAGTTAAGGTGGCACGATCAACCCTGCTGCGCCATGACAATTCAGAAACAAAAATCAAAAAGGGATATGAAATAGACTAAGACCTACCAAGTGGTGATTAGAGAACCATGTAAAGACCACTGCTGATACAAATTATAATTATCAAGACTCTTTTGAATGTTTGAAACAATTAATTTGAAGCATTCAAAAGATACATTCCTGTAAATGTGCAGCACATTATAGTTCAGGTGAAAGTTGTCTGTGATGCCATCTCTTGTCCACCCATTATTAGTCTCCTCTCTAAAAGCCTGGTTAGCAATTTGATGTGTGATCTTCCACACTGCTTTATTGTTGTTGTGTGGTGCCGTTAAGTTGCTTTCAACCCATAGTGACCCTGTGTAATGTTTTCAAGGCTGTTTATTTTTGCAGGAGCAGAAAACCTCATCTTTCTTCTGTGGAGTGGCTGGTGGCTTGAACCGCTGACCTTGTGGTTCACAGTCCAGTGCTTATCTTACAGAGCCACCTTTATCCATTGTTTGATTGACATTTACGTAAGTACATGTACTGGATAAGGAACCCTGGTGGTGCAGTGTTCGAGCACTTGGCTGCTAACTGAAAGGTTGGTTCAAACCTGTTAGCTGCTTGGCAGAAGAAAAGACCTGACATTCAGCTCCCATAAAATTAAAAACCAACAAACCAACCTATGGTCATCAAGTTGATTCTGACTCATTGTGACCCTAGGGGACAGAGTAGAACTGCCTCATATGATTTCCAAGACTGAAATCTTTACAGAAGCAGACTGCCACATCTTTCTCTCACGGAGTGACTCGTGGGTTTGAACCATCAAGATTTTGGTTAGTAGCCTAGCACTTAATTCTACTAGGGCTCCTTCTCATAAAAATTTCAATCTAGGAAACCCTATAAGGCAGGTCTATTCTGTCACATGGGATCGATTTGAGCTAGAATCAACTCAGTAGCACACAACAAAAATATGCTGGATATACACATTACGTATACACAACATATAATGTTACAAACATACGATATAACACTGTTTTCGGATTGGATTTATTCTGCATTTTGTCTTCCTCAGCAAATATATGTTTCAGTTTCCTCTGTTAGAGCATATCATCCTGTACTATTCTTAGCAACTGCATGGTATTTCAAGGTGCAAATGTACCATAATTTCTTTAACCGTTTTTTAAAATTCAAGGAGCCGCGGCAGCACTATATGATAAGCACTGGACTGCTAATTGCAAGGTCGGCTGTACAAACCCACCAACTGCTCCATGGGAGAAGGATGAGGCTGCTGTCTGCCCTATAAAGATTTACAGCCTCGGAAACTCTATGTAGGATTACCATGAGTCGGAATTGACTTGATGACAGCGGAGTTTTTGTTCATTTGTGAGCCAGTGTGTTATTTAGTTAAAAGGTGGCCTCAGGGGGTAGTTTGGTTCAAAGTTTAAAGAGTGCCTCAGGGCGCTAGTCTTGGGGAGTCCTGTAGTCTTAGGGTAGTAGTCTTGGGGGGGGTGCCGTGACCTCAGGGTAGTAGCCTTGAGGAGTCATGTAGTCTCAGGACAGTAGTCTTAGGAAGTTCTGTAGTCTCAGTTCAGACCCACCAGGTCTCCTTGTTGGAAAGATGTGGCAGTCTGTTTCCTTAAAGATGTCAGCTGCTAGTTCTCAGAAAACTTGGCGGCTGTGTTGAAAAAAGGCTCCTCATGCCCTCTCAGAGAAATCATTATTAGTCCCTTTTGGAGATGCTGCCAGACGCACCTAGAACAGACAGGTATCGGGGTAGATCACACTGACCCACCCGCACTTCGTCTCTGCCCGTTTTCCCAGTCTTCCTCTTCACTTAATGGGCTATCTTTTTCCTTTACAGGCTTTTCTGACAGTTGACTCTTGGTATCTCCCAGCCCATGGATGCCGTTCACTTCCTGGGCCATAATGTGAAAGCTAAAGTATTAGCACTCACATTTTAGAATTGGCTTGGGAAACTGGAAGGCGGGCTCCAGTAATTTGCACGTGCTTGAAGCCAGCTGGAGTGTTCTGCTCAGTCGTGATTGAATTTTGTGTCCTCTGTTGCTTTCTCTGGAGTGAATGGGAGCAGTACTCAGAATGGATTGGCTAGTAACAGCATTGAGTTCAATGAGCATTAGAAGTGTTTCTTTGTGGAAAATGACAGTTCTGCCCAATCTTTCAGAAAGGCATTGGATCTACAAAGTACCAGAAAGAAAGCGGCATTCAGTGTAATACTAAATAAAAGACCACATACACCATTCCAAGCTACAAAGTCGCAGTATCCACTAACCCATCTACTGAGTTTTTCTTCTGCCCTATTTTTTTCCTTTCAATTAATTATTGAACTGTGATAACCTCTGTAGCTGCTCTCTTACTTCTCATTTTGTAACTGCCAAATTCTCGCGCTTCCTGACAGGGTAATCTCCTCTTGATGAGATTTCTGTCTTGGTGGTGTGGAGAGTGGCTCTAAGTGATGGACTGGCACAGTGGCAGCAGCAGTGGACTTTTGTGTAACAACAGTTGTGAGGTTGACGCAGGACCAGCCAGTGCTTGTTCTGTTGTGCATAGGGTCGTTATGAATTGGAACCGACTTGACGGCACCTACCAACATAAGTGACTACTCCTGGGCATTGTTGTTGTTGTTGTTAAGTGCTGGCAGGTCATTTCACAGCGAAATTGGATAGGGTTTCTGAGGAGCAGCTGGCAGTTTTGAACCACCAACCTTACAGTTAGCAGTCCAGTGCTTACCCTACAACGCAGCACCAGGACTCCACTTCTGGTACTGTGTTCTCAGCCCAAGCTACATCGCAAAATGTGTGCAAACACCTCTCACTCTGGGAAATATCTTCCTTGTTGGGAACAGGAATGATTTTCCTGGTGCCGTATTTTTCTATTCTCCTGCTCTTGAAGATTGTAGCTATTACAGACTTGGCGTTTCTAGGCACCCAGTTAAGGAAAGGTGACGTGTGCAGTTGATATCAGATGGATCTGGATATAGAAAAAGCAGCTGGTTCAGAACCCCATAGGCTGCCTTTCTGTGAGAGCCATTCACACTTGGGTAGATAAGGCAGAGCATCCTCCTACACTGGCGCGGTAAGGAACCAGACAGTCTGGCTTGCTGGGCGCCTCGTCCACCTCCGGAGTCCTTGCTTGCCTTCCCTCACAGAGTGCTGGGCAGACCTCTAGAATTCAGAGCTTGATGTTGTCAGACAGCATCCTCACACGGGTTGATACATCTGTCTTTGAATCTCTGGTTCTTTTGAAAGAAATAAACAAGCTTGGATTCACCTTTGAAATGTGACTTGTAAGAGTTTGCAAGAACTGTTTTCCCTCCCGACTTGTCTCGGGTTCTCTGAGCATCAGCTAGTCTGATTTGATCTCTTATTTCTCTGTCTTTGAAAATCAATAGTTAGATGCTAGATAGACTTTTCCATGCTGGTGATCACTAGGCAAGACTTGAAGATTCATTTTCTGCTGGTTTAGTCTTTTTCTATAGATGACATTTGCATGGTATACAATTATTCATTTGAAAGTGGACCATTCCTGGACCTTTAGGACATTCACAATATTGCACGTCTACCAACTCTGTCTAGTTCCAGAACATTCCATCCCCTTAAAGGAGACCCCATGCCCATTAAGCAATGTTCTCCTCTCCCCTAGCTTCTTGAAACCACCAACCTACTTCCTGTCTCTATGGATTTGGCTATTCAAGATATTTTATATAAATGGAATTATGCTACTTGTGACTTTTTGTGTCTGCCTTTGTACCACTCAGCATCATGTTTGTGGAGCTTCATCCACATTATAGCATGTATGAGAACTTCAGTCCTTTTTATGGCTGATTAATAATTCATGGTTTAAGTTTTTGTTTCAGAATTCATAGAGAGTAACTGGTTTTCTCTGATCCCTTTCAGAGTAAATGTGTCAAATACTGGCCTGATGAATATGCTCTCAAAGAATATGGAGTTATGCGTGTTAGGAACGTCAAAGAAAGTGCCGCTCATGACTATACGTTAAGAGAACTTAAACTTTCAAAGGTTGGACAAGTAAGTATATTGTTATATTTTAGAGACCTTGGTACCAGTGCGCTTTGCTGCATCATTTCAGGATCCTATAGTAGTCATGCACTTGTGCATTCATTCATTCGTTTATTGAGTAACCACTTACTGAGTGCCCCTGTCTGTCATGTACAGTTCCAAACACTGGAAAGAAGTAGACCCAGCTGAGATCATTGTGAGCTAAGGCATGCGTAGTCCCTGTCCTTACAGATCCCAGAGAGCTAGGAGACTTAAAACGTAAATATCCACGGAAGTGTCCCAGCTGTGTTTAGTGCTGTGGTCGGAAGAGCTTTCTGAGGAGGTGATACTTGGGCTGAGACCTGAAGATGGAGCAGCCAGACAGCCAAAGAGCCAAGAGGACAGGTCCAAGCAGAGGCAGCAGCAAGTGCAAAGACCCTGAGGCCTGTTTAGTGATCAAATCCCATTTCATCAGCTCCAACATTGAGCATAGTTCAGGATTGGTCCTGGGGTGACAAACTTTACAAAGCATGGCTAGGTATAGCTTCCATTTGACTTTGTTGTCTTAATCTGTAGAATGAGTACCAGACCGAAAGGTTGGTTTGAACAGCAGGCCGGCAGTTTAAAACCACCAGTTGTTCCTCAGAAACCCTATACAGGGTCGCTTTGAGTCAGAACTGACTTGATGGCACTTAACAACAATTCAAGATTTTGGAGTCCTGATGTGGTGCTGTAGGATAAGTACTAGCCTGTTAACCAAAAGGTCAGTAGTTCAAACCCGCCAGCTGCCCCTCAGAAACCCTATACAGAGTTGCTGTGAGTTGGAACCGACTCGATGGCACTTAACAACAACAACAACAACATTCAAGACCTCAGGGGTGTACAAAGATGATTAAAAATTGGTTTGTCCTCACAAAACAGATATTGTCCCCATCCTCCCAGAGTTTGTACCCTACTGGCAAGAAGTACATGAGCTCATTAATGACACACATCAATGTGTCGATACAAACTGTAGTGAGGCTCTGGGGGATTCATTCAGAGTGGGAGGGAAGGTTCCCAGGGTTCATAGAGCAGTGTGTTTTCAGGACCGGAGTCAGGTTGGGCAGTTAGTGGACACTGGAGGGGCATGAGTGTTGGATTCAGTAGGTTCAGGAATGCTAGTTAGGAGGTGACTACAGTTGTCCAGCAGGTAACAGATACTGGGACTTGTTGAACTAGCTTGGTAGCAGGGACGATGGGAAGAATTAGACCCACTGAGATCATTGTGCTGGTCAACTTGAAAGGACTTGATGGAGTGAATGAGGGGTGAGGACCAGGGAGGTGTCAAGGATGAGCATCAGTTGTCTAGCTTAAGAAGCTGGGTAGTTGGCTGTGGATTTGAGGAAGGAGGGAGAGAGAGGATCTCATTTGGATACATAAAGCTTGAGATGCTTGGGAGATGGGGAGGCAGGCATAGAGGTGGATCCAGTGTACTGTTGACTAAGTAGTTTTGGTGGGTTGAGAGCATTTCCTCTGGGATGACAGGAAGGTGATCATAGGTGCAAGTAGATGAACCAATTTGGGAGTGAATAGAAGGCTTTCTCTATGAGATGTGACATTTGAAGGGAAGAGGAGATGAAATATCTGAGGCAATGCAGGGCAAGTATGAAAGAGCAATTGTGTAGAGAGGTCAAAAAACTCAGTAAATTTCCAGGCTGTGCTGAGTGCCCAGTTGTGGTAGTGAACATGGCTGTTTAGTGACATCAGTCTATCTGGGTGTGTGGTTTTCCTCTAAGGACACTCTGTTCCTTGGTACAGAACAGAGAAAGTAAGTGGCTGGGATCATCCATGGTTGGTGTGTTGACAGGTGAGTGCTGTGGATAGAGAGAGGGCTGAGTGGAGACATGTGATGGAGATCGGTGGATACGACAATGTGTGGAGTCCAAGCTTGCTAAGGAGGGCAGTGAGGGCCAGAAGGTGCTGGTAGAAAGTGGAGGGGGTTGGGGCACTGGTTTGGTGTACCTCATGGGGTGGGGTGGGGACAAAAGTGAGCGGGAAGCCTGTGTGGTGTAGTCCCTAAGGGCTGTTGGCAATTTTGCTTTCAGAAGCTCTAGTGGATGGGGACAGGGGATGGAGGGGTTGGCTCTATCTCCAAGAGACTAAGAAGAACTGGAAAAATAGCGCTATCAAGCGGAAGTGAGCGTGAAATTTACTTAGACACCATTGGACAAAGTTTCCAGTTAGATTTCTCTTACGTTTGGTGACAAACTGCCCATCCTGCCGTTATCGGATGTTCCAGAGTAGCAGTAATAGTAATGTCCTTTTAAAAAATAGATTTTTCTTCAGTGTGGTGATAAACTCCCCACACTTCTACGCCAGAGATTTCTGCATAGTGGATGGAGAGATGTGGGTGTTGAGTGTGTGATTTGCACGCAGGATGCAGGGTGGGATCACAGGACTGATTATTTCTCCAGAACTGTTGAAGTCGTATTACTTGCTTTTTGTGTACCGTTTTACATTTGTTCCTACTGCTGCCCATGATCTTGTTTCTCATGACTGCCTCAGAAGCAGGTAGGTGGAGACCTCAGTGATACTGAGGAGAGGCAGAGAGGCAAAGGGAGGCGGGGCCAGAGTCACTCCTTCCTGCCACTCCTTTCTGTTTCTTTCCCACCTTGCCACCAGGTCTCTCAGTCACTGGATAACATTTTGGGAAATTTGTATCACATCAGCAAATCAGCATGTCATTCAAGAAGACACCTTAACTGTGGGTCAGGCTCCCTGGATATATACCTACCTTGTCATCTAAAGGTCACTGATGTGGATGCTGGTATAGCGACCCACTTTTCCAAACCCAGTTTTAAAACAAATATTACTTAACTTGCATTGTCTCCATTTATACTGGTGTCCCTTGGAGATACTGTGGGTTCAGTTCCAGACCATCTGCACTAAAGCAAGTATGGAAGCGAAGCAAAATCACATGAGTTTTTCAGTTGTCCAGTGCTTATAAAAGTTATGTTCACACCCTGTGAAGTGTGTACTGTTGTTGTCATTAAGTGCCGTTGCGTTGGTTCTGACCCATAGCGACCCTAAATAGGGGTTCTGAGGAATGGCTCATGAGCTTGAACTGCTGACCTTTGTAGTCCAGCCCATTAACCTGCAGCGCCACACCAAGACTCCTGTGAAGTTTATAATAGCATGGTGAAAAGGTTTGAAATATTGTGAGAATGAACAAAATGTGATGCACAGACCAGGACTGAGCACATGCTGTTAGAAAAGATGCTAAACAAATTGAAGCTTCAGCTTCATTTTGTTTATATAATTTTAAAACAAACCTTACCTGTGAAGCACACTAAAGCGAAACACAATGCCAGTGGTAAGCTGGTACAGGAAGAAGGTCACTGCAATCACCTATCTGGCAGACTCTTTGGTCTTCTGCATCTGCCTGCTAGCTAAGCTTCTGCATCTGTGCTGCTGGCATCGTGGGCTAGAGTTGGACTCTAAACACAGGGCCGGCAGTTTGAACCCACCAGCTGCTCCTCAGGAGAAAGATGAGGCTATATATTCTTCCATAAAAACAGTTGGAGAAACCCTAGGGAGCAGTTTCACTGTGTCCTACAGTATCACTCTCAGTTGGAATTGACTCGATGGCAGTGTGTTTTCTTTTGGCGGGGGTTGTTTATTTTCAGCACAATAGCGACAATGTGTTGATCTGCTTACTATTTGCTGAGCACTGGCTGCTTTTAAATGACCTCATTTTATCCTCACATGGTACCACAATAGAGAGTAGTATTCCCATTTTGCCAGTGAAGAAATTGTGGCGTAGAGTTGTCCAAGGGCCCTAGAGAGTGTAACGGCTGGGATTTGAGCCATCTGATTGCACGTGATCTTCTTACCTACTTCATACTAAACAAAAGTTTAAAGTGTAATGATAATATATTACAAATGGGTATGTGGTGGGGAAGGAGGAACAAGTATCTTCTGAGAATACTTGTGCTCTCATGTGGTGGGAGGAGAGACGTCCATGCCCAGAGGTCTTGGTCATCTGGATGAGGAGGAGCTGTGGCATTACCCACTATGCATGGTGAGATAGATGAATCAGGTCCTCACTTCCTGAAGAACAAGTCACCACAGTAGCATCTTGGGTATTCTAAGAGAGCAGAGTTGCCTTCCAGGAGAGCTCAGCTAGACCCACAGACGAATCCTGTGAGACTTGTGAGGAGATCCTGCCCCTGCCAGGTCCATTGATCGGGAAGAATACTAACGGGGAGATTCCTCAACGCCTTGATTTATTTAATTCGTTTCTGGTTTTTCTTGGCTTTACTCCAGGGGAATACGGAGAGAACGGTATGGCAATACCACTTTCGGACCTGGCCAGACCACGGCGTGCCCAGTGACCCCGGGGGAGTGCTGGATTTCTTGGAGGAGGTCCACCACAAGCAGGAGAGCATCGTGGATGCGGGGCCCGTGGTGGTTCACTGCAGGTAACAGCTCCTGAGCCTCTGTGCACAGTCGCCTGCTCCCATCCCCTAACGCCTGGGCTTGTTCTTACCACCCCTACCCCAGCTCCTTAAGTGGAGGAGAAGTGGCCTCTGCATTTCAGGGTAAATTGCATTAGGAGGCATTGTAGCCCCAGAGTGCATTTCTCACAGTTTCTAAAGGGCTGTCAGTGTCCTTAGTTTTTCGATATAGTTATTCTCAGTGATCTCTTAATCTAGCAATTTTGCTTAGTTGTCTTTTTAAATGATAGTAATTTAGGATTTACCTCTTTGATTGTGATTCTGTTCTCTTCTACCATGGAAATGAGGTATTTCCCATACCTTTCTACTTGTTTGTTACAAAAAGCTAAGACCGCTACCCACCAGGGCTTAGATGGAAGCCATGCCCATGGTCTCAGTAACAGGGTTTGTGGGGCTTCCAGTGCCCACATTTAGGCGTCATCATTATACTGGGGAGAGTTGGGTTTCTTAAATCTTGTTTGTGTTTTTGACAAGTAGATATTTGTGATACTTGATTATTTTATTTTATTTTTTAAAGTTACCATCTATTGGATTACTTGGGTGACTCAAAGGCTTCATGTAATCAGTTGCTAATCAAAAGATTGAAGTCTACCTAGAGGTGCTTTGAAAGAAAGGCCTAGTGATCTTCCCCCAAAACCAACCATTGAAAACCCTGTGGGGCACAGTTCTACTCTGACACACATGAGGTTACTATGACTCAGAGTTGACTTCACGGCAATATATTCTTTAAAACACTCTCTTGAGCTTGTACGGGGCCTTGACGGCACAGTGGGTAAGAGCTTAGTGGCATCGACTTGACAGTAACTGAGGCCATTGAACACTTGCTCTATTAAAAGTCTCTTGAGCTCAGTGTTTTTCATTCCTTATTCATATTTGATCCTCACGAGGGTCCGAGAGGTTAAGGCGCTTGCTTCAGGTACATTGTGCAGAGAAGATAGGCTCCAGTTACAGGTTTGGCTGGTTCCGAATCCCTGAGTCCTTTGTATGTATCTTCTGAAAACTCTGAAGAGTTGCTGCCATGTCTGCTAATACGAACAGCTTGGTTTTGAGTTAGAAAACCTCCAGGAGTGGCTGTGTTGTCACTGCTTTTTGTCCTTGTGCCCACAGTGCTGGGATCGGGCGAACGGGGACCTTCATCGTCATTGATATCCTCATTGACATCATCAGAGAGAAAGGTAGGTCCTCTGCAGGACAAGAAGCGACTGTTTCAGCTTTAGTTTATGGAAGGAAACTGCTAGTGAAAATAGCCAGTGGAAGGGAGCTTGGATAATAAGAAATTTTCACAACAATCTGGGCTGAAGACTTCCACTTTCTGTATGTTTGACGGATTGCAGAAGTGATGTATTTAGAGCCTTTGGCATTAGATGAAGCTGAGGTGCTGCACTGGCCTTTTCTTGAATGAGCAGTAGTGGTCTTTCCTCGGCTGGCTGAGGAGGGAGGGCGGGAGGTGGTGCTGCTGGAGAGGGTGAGAATCCTGACCTCTGAACTTTTATCATGTCATCTGCTGGAGTTACTGGTCAGAAGTCCAGTGCCATAGCTTGGAACATGTTCTATCAGGACGTCAAAGACTAAATCCATCTTATCACCAAGTCTGTTAAAAGCTGTGCCTTAAACATTTTCTTCCTGGCTCTGTAGTTTCCTCTGATGCTTCATGTGGTTTGCTTTGTAGGTGTGGACTGTGACATTGATGTTCCCAAAACCATCCAGATGGTGCGGTCTCAGAGGTCAGGGATGGTCCAGACAGAAGCACAATACCGGTTCATCTATATGGCCGTCCAGCATTATATCGAAACACTACAGCGCAGGATTGAAGAAGAACAGGTATGAGGCTGGGGGCTGCTCAGCTTTGTCTTAAGAGAGTGCACTGATCCCGGGTTACCCTTTGCTGTCCTCATTTTCAGCTGGAAGGTACAGTCTGATAGATGACTGTCTTTACCAGGGAATGGGAAGCAAGGTGCCTGTCTAGAAACTGTAATTATCCACTGCTTCACAGCTCTGTGTGTGTGGCAGGGGAGAGCAGGAGACTTGATGCTGTCATCCTGGCTGGACAGGTTGGAGAATCGCCATGCAGAAAGGGTTTGGTTTTCCCAGGTTCACATGGCCAGCTTAAAACTCACAGCTCCCAAGTTCCCAGCCAGTTCCATCTTTGATCCAGGCCATATTTATCCTGATTCCATCTCTGCAAATGAACGCCTCACTCTTAATAGCAGTTGGAACCACCAATTTGGTTGAGTTGGAAACAGTGAAATTTCAGTGTTAATAAGCGGTGGGTAATGAAGAATGTGGAATTGGAGTCTTCCCATTTGTAGCTATTCATACTAGACAGAAAGCTGAGTTAATTAGGATGATGCTGAGATGAGGGAAAGGAGGAGAGCTGCTCTTTTAGGGGAGCTATGCTTACACCCCCACCCCAGTTTGCTCTTCTGCAGATGGTGTAGTATGTGAACATCAATGATGTTTGCCTCCTTTGTTGTTGCCATTGAATTGGTTCTGACTCGTAGTGACCCTGTATAGGATTTCTGAGGCTATAAACCTTTACAGGAGCAGAAAAACTTTTTTTCTCCTGTGGAGCAGCTGGTGGACTTGAACTGCTGACCGTATGGTTCACAGTTCAGCGCTAACTTACAGAGCCACTGTGCTCCATTGCCTCCTCTACTACCATGTTTTTGCCTTGGCTCAGCTTCTCAAAATGGGACTTGCTACCTAATTAATTGAAAGATTTCTAGTCTAGTGGAAAGGCAGTCAGGTTCTCAAGGCTTGGTTTGCCAAAGTAAGGTGCCTGTTACTTAGTCTAGTAGGTCCTCAGTCCACACAACATACTTCTTCGATTGTTTCGTTGTATACAAACATCTGAAAAGGTTAAGAAAAGGTTTCCATACTAAAAGAAACATTCTTTGATGGATGGTTAAAAGCCTGGGTGGTAGGAGGAGGAAGGGAGTTAAAAAAACAATTCCCCCAGAATGCATAGAAATTAACAGGCTCCCAGACTTGAACTTGAATACTTCAGAGCTGAATCTGTACTACCATGAGTGCCCTGAAAGGACAGTGAGATAGTTAGTTGCTTTGATTTCTGGAGGTTGTTTGACGTTTTCTTTCAGCTATACTTAATTAGCACCAGGAAGAGATTAAGCTAAGTAATTGCCTAAAGAGAAGTTGCAGAAAGAATGCAGCCCAGTTGCTGCAAGTTGGGAAATGTTCAGGAATATCTTGAAGTACGTAATGTAGTCTTGCCCAGAAAAGCTGGGGGAAAAGCTGTCTTTATGTTACTTTCAAGTTTGGCCATTTATTGTTTTGGAGACTTTAGGGACTTTCCCAGTACTTTAGGTCATCTCATGTTCATATATGGTCTCTCTGACTCCAGCTCGAATTGAGGAACTACTTTTAAAAAACCCCAACAACTTTATTGCTATCTCTTCCTTTTTCTTTTATTTAGCAAGAGCAAAACATGTACCTAATAATTTATTTGCTACCTAATATAGAAAGTGAATGTTCCTAGTAATCCCTTCCCCAGGAGTGTTTGCTTGCATGCATTCATTCATTCATACAGCCAGTATGTTTTTGGTGTCGGTATAATCCCAGCAGAGACTCGAGAATTGCTAACTATTATTTGGTGTATGGGTCTTCTTAAATGCGAAATCTCCAGATTAAAAAGTAATAATAATTGAGCAGTTTAGGTTACCGTTCAACCATTTCTATATAAGTTGTCCAGTGGCACAGGTTCCATTCTTCACAATGTGTGAACATTCTCATTATTTTCATTCTGGTCGTTTCCTTTCTATTCATCTCATTTCCCTGTACACTTACATTCTCATCTTTGCTTTATAGTAATTGTTGAGTGCGCAGTCTCAAATTTGGTCTCATAGGTGATTTTTTTAAAAAAAGAACCGCAGTGCTTGTGGATGACAGTCATTATTTTTTAAGCCAATTTGTTATTAAAATCTACAGATTTTTAAAAATAGTTGACTGAAAAAGAAAAATGCTATGTAAACTAGCCCAAACATTTTCACCTTGGCTATCTTTTTTGCAACTTCTTCACTAGACTGTAAGTTAACTACCTTATAATTTAATAGATTGGCTTGGCTACTTTAACAGAAGCTAAAGAATAGTGGCTTCAACAAGATAGAAGCTTATTTCTCTCCCACATGAAAGTCCAAGCTGGCAGACGATTTAAGGGAGAGGGACTTGAACAGCCCCTATTCCACGGAGTCATCCAGAGAAGCAGGCACATGCTGACTTGTTTCTCTACTATCCTCGAGGATGTGTTGGTTGCAGATAGCACAAGGCAGTGGAGAGCTTGCAGTTGTCTGTAAATGCAGGGATCCACAAAAATACCTGTAATGGTTTCTAGATTGTGAGGAGTTTAGGCTTTGACGGCCACAGTCTCTTACCGTCTCCTCCTCCCCTTTACAAGTTTCAGGCTACATTTGTCCCATAAAAGATTTGTTTGCCAACTCTGTTTTTTTTTTTTTTTAGCTATAAATTTTATTTTGTTGTTGAGACTAGATACAGCATACAATTACTCAACAGTTTCTACCTGTGCTGTTTACTGATATCGATGACGTTCTTCCAGTCGTGCAACCATTCTCCACCCTCCTTTTCTGAGCTGAGTTGCTGTTGTTAACTCATACTTAAGACATGTTGTCAGGAGGGACTGGTCTCTGGAGAAGGACATCATGCTTGGTAAAGTGGAGGGTCAATGAAAAAGAGGAAGATCCCACTGTGCCACTGGTTTGGCACAGTGGCAGCTGCAATGGTCTTAAGTGTAACAGCAATTGTGAGGATGGCTCAGGACCAGGCTGTGTTTCCTTCTGTAGTGGATAGGGTTGATATGAATCGGACCCAACTCAATGGCACCTAACAACAACAACAACATTGTTAACTTGATCCCATATAGACCTTTAAGAGCATGGTGCATAAGGCCCACCTGCTTTTCCTTACTAGTTAAGATAAGGACTCCTGATGTGGCACTGTAAGATCAGCACTAGACTGTGGTCTTCATGTTTAGCAGTTCAAACCTACCAGCTGCTCCTCAGAAACCCTACACAGGGTCACTATGAGTGGGAACTGACTCACTGGTACTTATCAACAATAAGAATTTAAGATAAACTAATGTTTGGTTTTAAGATGACTTCAGGGGAGATTTTTAGTTTAAGGATTAAAGATAATCTCAGGGCAATAGTTTCAAGGGTTCATCTACCCTTCATGGCTCCAGAAAGTCTAGAGTTCATGAGAATTTGACATTCTCTTCTGCATTTTCCCCACTGACCCCTGTTTTAAAGACATGACCCAGAAATTGTATATTTCCTTTTTAAAATAGAGTTAATGACAGTATGTATTTCAAAAGTTTGTTATGAGGATTAAAATGAGATAATATATTCAAATGGTGCCTGACACAAAATAAGTGCTCAGAAAATGTTATCTGTTTTTATTATCATTATATAATTTATATCTATTTAATGCCATCTGTGAAAGAGAAAGAGTACATTTTTCCTTTTCTCGCTTATTTCCAGTGACTTGACATTTTCCACTATTCTTCCCACATTTTTTTTTTTTTTACATTCTTGTTATATTTAAATCAGTGATCACTACTGGTCCTTGTATCAGGGTTTCTGTTTCTCTGAATTCTTTATTTTGCTTTTATTTTCTTCTTTTTTAAATTGTGGAGGTGTGGTGCTGTGGGTTAATACACTGGACAGCAAGGTTGGTTTGAACCGCAAGTGTCGGAGGTTTAAGCGCACCAACTGCTCCTCGGAAGCTCTATACAAGGTCACTATGGGTTGGAACTGACTCGACAGCACTTAACAACAACAATATGTATGACAAAACATTTGTTGCTTTAACCATTTTTTATGTACATCCCAGTCACACCAACCACACTCTCCTTGTTGCACAACCATCACCACTATCCATTTCCATATCTTTTTTACTTTCTCTCATCCTTCCCTCCCCTGTCTTTGCCTTTTTTTCATTTGCAGGAACGTTTTCAATGTTTGTCTCAATGAGAAAATAAACATTTATTGTTTCCCTTCCAGTATATTAAAAACAAAAAACAGACAAATAAACAACAACAAAAAAAAACCCAGATCAAGAAAAAAAGAAAGCGATTTCCTTTCCCCCTTCCCTTTCTTTGTAACTGTCTCCCCGTCACCCAGATTAGCACGTCTTTATGCTATCCAGTAAATAATTCTCCCTTCCCTCCCACCTCTGATAACCATCATAGAAAATTTATTATAGAATAAAAACCTTTTCTTGACTTTTTTTTACAGTAGTGGTCTCATACAATATCTGTCCCTTTGTAACTAACTAATTTCATTCAGCATAATGTCTTCCAGGTTCCTCTATGTTATGTGGTGTTTTGCAAATTCATTGTTATTCTACAGTGTTGCATAGTATTCCATTGTGTGTGTATATATACCAAAGTGTGTTCTATCATTCTTCTGTTAATGGGTACCTATCTTTTTGCTATTGTGAATAATACTTCAGTGAACATTGTTGTTATTGTTGTTAAGTGCCATCGAGATGGTTCTAACTCATAGCGACCCTGTATATGGTTTCTGAGGAACAACTGGTGAGATTAAACTGCCAACCTTGAGGCTCAAACTTTCCTTATGGTCTAGTGCTTACCCTATAGTGCCACACCAGGACTCCTCAATGAACATGAATTTACATACATCTGTTTGTGTCGTGGCTCTTATTTCTTGAGGATATATACCAAGTAGAGAGGCTGCTGCGTCATATGGTATTTCTATTTCCAGCCATCTGGGAAAATGTCATACCGTTTTCCACATTGGACATACCGAATTACAGTTTCACCAGAAGTG